CCGGGCCCCTAAACTCCAGCCCCTTTCCCTAGGCTGTCTCCTCCATGCTCCCAGACAGCCAGCCACTAACTAATTCTCTTCCAGCCCTGCCCCCCAGCCAGGGCAGCATTCCACCTTCCTTTGTTCCTCTCCATGGGGGGTGTCTGGCCATACTGGTTTGCATAGTGACTCATCCTGTTTTGCTGGGTCGTGGTACCCACGGCAGCCAGTGGGGGTTACCCCAGAGCCAGCAGCATAGAAACCAGCCAGGTACCCCCACTACGTCACAGTATGATAATCATAGTCAGGCAATGATCTCCTTGATGTATATCTGCTGTTATGCCTGCTCCGATATGATCTGGGAGGAGAGTAGGTCGGCGAGCGAGATCTATGCAGAGAGCCACCTCTATAGGAGTAATCCAAGCAGGAGCGTCTATGAGCACCGTTATATGCGAAGGAATAAGCCCCCCTGTCTGAGTGACATGCAGGTGGGCAAGGCTCCGGTGAGAAGTACGATGAAGGCGACCTGGAATGGTACCTAGGTGCTGATTTCCTTGCTGTGTTAGTAGGAACAGCTGCCCGGGACTGCTGGGCAGCTGTCAGGTCTCCTGCTGTGTTGCCATGGTTACGCTCAGCGCACACCGGTTGAGAATGTCTTGGAGGCAGAGAGGTTGATTGGAATCTCGGTGCCGAGGGGTGGGAGGACTTGGCAGCTCTCGGCCCCGAGTTAATGATCTCCCTCGGCACGGAGCGATTGCTCTCGCACGGCACCGAGCTCTCACATGGCACCGGGTTAATGCTTTCCCCTGGCACGGAGCGAGTGCTCTCACACGGCACCGGGGGTGCTCCGGGGGAATTTCTCTCTTGCGGTGCCGTCTGCCCTGTCAGCACCGCGCGGTGAGCCGTGGTCCCCCGGTGCCGCTGTGTCTTCTCTGGAAGCCCGGAGTTAATGATTTCCCTCTGCAGGGAGCGAGTGCTCTCACACGGCACCTAACTCGTCCCACTGCTGCGGGGACAGTTCCCTGTCAGGCGGCATCGTTGGTGGCATTAGCGGCATGGCCAGGTTATCCCCCGAAGGGGTTCTGGTCCGTGCATGCTCCCTATGGGTAGGGGCAGCTGCTACAGAAGACGAAGCTGTGCACGGCTTTGCTGTTTCTGCCACAGACCGGGGAAGCGGTTTAGATGCCGGTCTAGCCTCCGACTTGTCCTGACTCACCCACGGCAGGGGGACAGTGGGGAGAGAGCGGGCGGGAGAAGCTTTTTTCTTTTTTGTTTTAGGCATCCCTGGGGATAGCGCCCTTCTCTTTGGAGCAGCTATTTGCTCCTGTACAGTTTGTGCCGGCTGAAGAGCCTTGTCGCAAAGGAGCAGCTTGAGCAGGAGATCCCTGTCTCTGTGCGCCCGCGGGGTTAATTTCAAGCAATGAGTGCATTTTGGGGGTACATGGGACTCCCCCAAACAACTAACACAGACTGAGTGGCCGTCTGAGGCTGGCATAGACTCTTTGCACTGGGAACACCTTTTGAATCCTGGAGTCCCAGGCATGATTCAGTTGACTAGGCAAACTGCCGCACTGGCAGGAATTGCCTAGAAAAACGTCGTCGTCTTCTTTTTTTTTTTAACTAACTAACTAACTAACTAATTAACAGGCAACTAATTACCGAATAAAGACTATTTTACAATATCTTCTGACAGGATTTGCTCTGTGTCTGAGGAGATCACAAAGCTCCACCAGCAACCTAGGGCGGCTGAGAGGAACTGGTGGGGGGGCCGGTCTGCGCTCGTGATCAAAGGCGCGAAAGCCGTGCGCTGAAGGGGGCATGCGCAGACCGGCCGAAGACGGCTCTGAAAGTTTCCGACCAGCGGCGCCGGGACGGACCCGACACCTAGAGTGGAGCACCCACGGGGCCACTCGAAGAAGAACCCAGTGTTAACATCCTGGCTGTGTTGTTTGATTCCTGATGATTCACTCCACACGTGTATTGGCCCTGACACCTAGTCCCAGCGTGAGTCAGATAGAAGGCTGCCCCCAGAGAGAGGCAAAGGAAGATAGGCAGAGACAGCCAACTGGCTGGGGGGGTAGGGTCTGGGAGCTGGTTCAGTTTTGGCTGGGGGGAAGCATGAGGACAGCAGACTAAGTCCAGGGCAGGGGGATTCTGAGGCCCAAGAGCCCCTACCCCCCAAGATAGGGCTGGCTGCCCTATCTCCTGTGGTAACATCGACCCTAAGCGACGCTGTGTCTCTGAGAACCAATAAACCTTCTACTCTACTGGCTGCCTGAGAGTCACATCTGGCTGCAGATGGGGGTGCAGGGTTAGGGGCTCCCCGATGCGGCGTCACAATAGGTGACAGGCTGAGGGGTGGTGTGGGGTGGCAGCTCTTTCTCCTCAACGTGCAGTCATGTGGAGTTCCACTGGCTTCCA